TATTTAGACCCGCCCTCTCCACTTAAAAAAGAAAATACAAGAACATCCTTCACTATACCTTTAAGGCTATTTTTATTCTGTGATCAGTCTGCAGGATGTTCCAACTATCAACCTAAATCCAGTAGTGATGGATCTTTGGCTGCAGACTGATAAGCATTTTTGCATGCCTTAAAACATGAAAAAACATGTGTTCCATTTAAACTTAGTTGAATTGTGTTTGAAATAAAAAACATTTTTGTCACATTATATGAATCTGTTGTAATTTAGCATTAAAAAAAAAAAAAAAGACCTTGCTCACCAGATACAGCATGATCCTGGTTTTTCTGGGACTTGGGTGGCAGAAGGAGTTGGGTGAGGAACAAGCCCTCATGCAGCTCTCCTATAAGGGTCCTCACATTCAGAGACACATGGCCTGGTCTCATCTCTGGAAGGGTCATATCCCCCGACAGCAGCAGGCTAAGAGCCAGCTCAGCCAAACAGATATCCTACAATAAAGAGAACGTCAGTGACACTCACTCACCAGCTTCAGTGACCAGAACGGATTAACAAGCTCACCAACTGGCTGCTTTTGAGCACTTTACTGCTTAGCTGCCCCACTGAGAAGTTCCATGACAACCTTGAGGGAAATTTAGAAAAAAAGAAAGTTGAACAAATTTTTTTTTTACTTTCTTCAAAGAAAGCTCATAAGAAAAAAAGAAGTGTGTAAATCCTTACCTTTTACTTTGATGGTCAAGCAAAAATGTGATACCTGTGACTGTCATGTGCCACAGAGACTCTGACAGAGCCAGGTTTAAGACAACCACGTTAACTGAGCTGATATGGAATGACAGGAGCTATGAGCACAAGAGATTTACAGTCAGTTAGACAGAGAAAGGCTTTGGCGCTATACGATAGGGAGTCAACATACCTGTGACAGAAAGCTAAGTGTTTTGGGGTTGATTGAAGCCTTCTTTGATTTTTTTCCATGTCCGGTCTTTACCAGTGGGCCCAGCGGCACCTGAAGGTCAAACCTAACCCGGATGTCACCAACACATAATGCAAGGTACCGCCTGAAAGCAAAAACAGCTCAGTCCCTCGCTGTTATAAATTAACTGCATTTTCAGATCACTCATTGCAAAGCTGCAAAAGTAGAGTAGAACTTACGGTAAATCCTGGTTTAGAAGTCGACTTGAAATCCATATTCTGTCTATTTCCTGATCCAAGACAGTAGATATAGTATTCATTAGGTGAATGATCACGGTGCAGGTTAAAAAGAGAGCACAGCTATTTGACAGCTCAAAAAATTAAACACATTTTGATTAATTTAGTTAGATACATGAAGCACTTTTTTTAAATTAATTTCCTTTAATGAAGAAGTGTTATGGCCTATAATTTAATAGAGGAGGTCTGTGAACTGAATGTTGTTCACTAACAGTTGTTAGTTTGAGCTCCTGCTCTGCTATTTGTGGTCATAGGGGGACTGTACAGAAGTGTCTCTTCAATCAGCGTGCCCCAGGGCAGCTGTGGCCACAACATAGTTCACCATCAAAGTGTGTGAATGTGTACCCAGTTTGATCCCCACAGCCTCCGCTCTGTAGCTTAATAAACCAGACTAAATGTGAGATTAAATGTGTAATTTAGTCTGGCCCCGATGAATGAGACATCGGAAGATTGTAGATGAGAACAACCCGTAGTTTATTAAAACCATGTCTGTGCCTATTGGCCAACGATCTGATCAATAAGCGCAACTGACTGTGACGTAGTAAGCGCAACAGAAAGCTGGTGGGGGAGTGTAAACAAACAGCCTGTCGGTAAAACGGCGAATACGTCCTTCTCAAAAATGAATGAGAGTAGAGCCTCTTCCTGCTCACATTTCAACAAAAAAGTCTAATCCTTCTAAAACTGATGCCAAAGCTCAGTCAAATGAGAACTGTTCAATAGTTGTTGTCATCTTCCTTGTTGTGCTTTCTCCAGCGTCACGCAGCTTTGTTGTCCCGCCCTCAAAACCCCACCCACTTTCCATTCAGAAATTAAACACACACATGCGTTATGATTGGCCCGCCAGTTCTAGGGCCTGGGGTATTGATCAAGGCTAGATCCAACTCGCAGGCACAAATGATATTGGCGACTGGCGAGTGGGGCTAGTTAACTAGGCTATCCACTCTGGGTCTCTCAGGAAAGACCCTTAACCCACACTGCTCCCCGGGCGCCGCACAACAGCAGCCCACTGCTCAACAAGGGGATGGGTTAAATGCAGAGATAACTTACTCCAGTGTGAGATCAATAAAGTTAAATTATTATTAAAGTTCTTTGGGGAACTCTGACTTGACAAAGCATTATACTAATACAGGATATTTACTGTGTAAAAACATATTTATTTATTTGATTATTCATTTTTTCAGAGAAACTCATAGGCAATTATTTATATTCAGCTAAAAATAGAATAAAAGTGTAATCTATATAATGGGCTTCAACACTGAATTAAAGAAAACTAACTTTTCCATAATATTAAAACTTCTTAAGACGCATATGTATTCCTGGATCAGTCACAGCTCACATGATAAATGTCATGTTTTCCTTACCAGTGTATGCTGAGGGTGAAACTGGATACTGACTCCTTGGACAGAAAACAGCCCCACTGATTTGATCTTCAGCTCAGCATTCACAGCAGCCTGGAAGATCCGGACTACCAGGGAGCAGATCAGCCATCTGGAACCAAAACCCACCGTGTTTAGATCCAAACCTGTGAGGTTTTACACATAAAACATAGCAGATCTTACCTGGAAACGATACAGAGCAACAAGAGGCCGAGCAGGACCGCTAGAAGAAAGGATATCAGGACGAGAGACATTGTGTCTCGAGTTGTTTCACACCCAGATCCTCGGACATGAGTGTGGCTGGCGCTTATCTGCCATCAGCTGCTGTCAAAGAGGAAGCCATAACGGTGTCATTAACGTGTCTGCTAAATGTAAAACACAAGCAGTACATATCCTGTGAGCGTTTAGAGACTGGTTAACTTTCAGAATCAGCCACACGGTGCTAATGTTGCAGTAATAGTTTGAGAGGACTGCCACATAGCACGTAGTTAAACTTTGTAAAGTTAGCTAACGAAGAGAAATTTACCAAAACCCGCTGGCTGTAAGCTGAAATAAAAATATATTATGTTAAAACGAGGTGAAAGCGTTAAAACGAGCTAGCCTCGCACGAAACAGTTAAACACTTTAGACGCCGCTTCACACGAAAAAATAAATTAGCAGCAAATCTATGCTAACAAGCTAGCGTGCTAACGCTAGTGCCAACGGTTTCAGCACAGCCGCGCGACTAAACACTAATTAGCTTGGTTATTTGTAGGAACTGGGAATATTTGTGGTCAGTGTTGGCTGTCTGTTGTAGATTAGCAGGCTCACCCTCCCAGATAGCTGAAAGCAGCGGGCTGTCCCTGCAAAATGCCGCAGAGAGAGCAGGTTTACAGACAGATGATTGCTCAGTAAACACGGTTCAGTTCTGGTCCGCCCAGCTGGCACATCATTTGACACCAAACAAGAACTTTCTCACTGGACTTATCCTGTACAGTTCAACGACTTCTCACTTGGACTGATTAAGAAAATAAATAACACAAGTTTACTGAAAACTACGGAAGAGGATTAGGGCCAGTGGCAAAAAAATAAGTTAACTGACTTTTTAACTTTCATTTCAGTATGACAGAAAAGTCAGAATTCTGACTTTAATCTCAGAATTCTAAATTTAATCTCGGAATTCTGACTTTAATTTGAGAATTCGTACTTTTTTCTCAGAATTCTGAATTTTTTCCTCAAAACTCGTACTTTTTTTTCTCAGAATTCTGACTTTAATTTCAGAATTCTGGCTTTAATCTCAGAATTTGTACTTTTTTCTCAGAATTTTGACTGCAATCTCAGAATCCTGACTGCAAATCAGAATTTGTCCTTTTTCTCAGAATTCAGACTTTAATCTCAGAATTCTGACCTTAATCTCAGAATTCTAACTGAATTCTGACAGCTAACAAACATGTTAGCATCAAGCCGTAGCCATGTCTGTTTTAGAGACTAAACTCTCTCTCTTTTTTTAATAACCTTCTGCTCTTCCGTTAATTAATCACCAGGGACCACTTGGGTACATAAGTCGCCTAATTTCGTAATTTTCCACCAATGTGTCACTGGCCCTCTCAAACAACTCACATCTTTGTCAGTGAGGCCGAGTGCTCCCACATCTCTTCCTTCATGGTGACCATCTACATTAAGATCCAACATTCTGAGATTAAAAGTCATAATTCTGAGATTAAAAATCAGAATTCTAAGGTTAAAAGTCATAATTCTGAGAAAAAAAAGTCAGAATTCTGACTGTTTTCCCATATTAAACTGAAATATTTTAAAATCAGTTAACTTTTTTTTCTCTTCAGTAGAAAACTTTCTAGTACAAAGTTGCCCTTTTTACAAATTTTTATCTTAATGGTACTGTACAACCTTGATAATTTGCATGCAAAGTGTTTCATTTCCATGTTAAAAATGAAACACTTGTGGCTGATTTGTGATGTGCATTCTCAACCTTCCACCAGACCTTTGCAATTGATCTAAATATGGCATTTTATTCCAACTAGAACATGTTTGCCATCTTTAATGTGGCCTGTGAAAGGGATTATAGTGGGTTTCTCCTTAAAAACCAGATTAGTGAGATGCACAACTATTTGCCAACAGATTCTGTGCACTGAGCAGCAGATCTCAGCGGTTCTTCCACAGTTATCCTAGACCTCTTGACTGTGCCTCTGATTATTGCTCTCCTTGTTTCTTGACAACTCCCAGCTTGTTTGGTCTTCATGATGTCATCTAATAAAAGTCTAAAGCCTTCTCACAACAACTGTGCACTGAAATGAAATCACACACCTAGACTTTGCTTACAAATAAAAGGAAGTTTTAAGAATAGTTTTTAAATGTGTTTTACTTGGAGATTAAAAAGTCAAGAATAAATAAAAATGCACCACACTTTTCAGATTTTTATTATTATTAGTTTCCTATTTTACAAAACTAACTTAATAATACAGCAGAATAGAGATGATGTTATGAAACATATTTCTCTAATGGTGCCTTGTTCAGAATCTCATGGTCCAAAGTTATCCTCCGTGGCCTTCTTTGTCTCAGGCAGCAGCTTTTTGTTTATTGTGTTTGGCAAACCACTCATCGCTTTTATCTTCTGCCATAGCCTAAAAAAACAAAAACAATCATATAAAAAAAGACAGTTAAGCAGCATTTACACTTGGTTTTACATAAAGAGTGAAATCTGAAATAATTCTGACTTTATCAAGCAGTTCATTTCCTTTGGGATCCACAGCAGAGAGCTGCCTGAAGGCCTCATCTCCAACAAAGCAAATTTCATGACCATCCTAAAAAAAAAACAAAAAAACCAACAAAAAAAAAACAAAGGTTTCATGCTTTAATTTAATTCTAAATGATTAAAACATTTTTTTTTCTGTAGACACTTACAGGGTCAGCTAGAATAACCACTTCCACTGTGGCTTTCCCCGGGGTGTCAAGGCTGACCAAGGGGGTGAGGATTTTTTCATTTTCCTTTTTCATCAAGGCTTCAATATCAGGCAGCTATGAAATGGAAACATTAACCCCAGTCATATTTCTATAAACAAGAAAATAAGTTGTTTTTTCTCTCTCAGCAGTTTACCTGATCTCTGGGACATGAAAATGCTATTCTCCCAAATGCTGTTCCATGATCAACCTTCCCTCCAACATCTCGAAGCTCCAGTTTGCACTACATAAATCCAAAAATCTAAATTATAGGCGATACTTAGGGGCAATACTCTGTATTTGCCTAATTTATTCACCTCTTTATCTTACTTGAGAGTCAGAAAATCCCAACAGCACCGTTTTTTTCTCCTCACTCTTGTCCATCACTGTCATTCCCAACAGCTTAGCCCAGTAGTGAGTCGATCTCTGGAGGTCTGACACGCCAAGGGAAACCTTCTGTACAGGATCTAGAGACAAATAATCAATGATTATATGCTTTGACCACAAAGCGTGATTAAACGTAGCTACGCTGTGATCATTAAGTTAAAAATATATATCTAATAACAGCTATATATTATGATTATTTAGAAACATGTGCGAGTTATTTTGAATTCTTCTTAACATACGTAATTATAGAGCTGGTACTCAGTAGTAATGATTAGATCACAATGGTGTTTCTTTTTAAATGTTCACCGTGTGCAGGCTGTTCTTTGTCCACGATGTAGAAAGGATATCCTCCAGGAGCTTGGGTTAAATAAAGAGCTTCCTCCACCTGAGTCAGAGGCCATCCAAGGCGTTTGGCATTGCTTACTGCTTGGCTGGACTGCAGGGTAAGACCCTAAGGAGAAAACAAAAAGCACAGGTCTGGATTAAACTCTACTGAAACACAGATGATCCTTTATGACTTCTGAAAACGGGCTGCTCAGTGGAGCAGTGAATAGCATTGCTGCCTTGCATTCAGAGGTTCTGGGTTCCATTCCCGGTCTTTCTGTGTGGAGTTTTCATGTTCTCCCTGAGCACGCATGGGTTCTCTCTGGGTACTCCAGCTTCCTTCCACAGTCCAAAAACATGACTGTTTGATTAATTTGCTTCTCTAAATGGTCCTAAAGTGCGAGCGTGTGCATGAATGGTAGTTTGTCCCGCCTCTCGCCCATTGACAGCTGGAGATGCTGGCACCAGCACCCCTCGCGACCCCACTTAGGATTAAGTGTGTAAAGAAAATGGATGGATGGACTTCTTAAAACCCACTTTCACTCACCAAGAAGTCGTTGCCCAGTTGATACTCTCCCACCCCGTAATTATAGGTGAGCTCAGCTACGAAGTGGTCATCCTCTGGGCCAAAGCCAACCATTGTCTTGCTCCATTTTCCGTCATAGGGGCTGAAGGGGTAAAGATAAAGATAAAGGCTTTAATGGGCTCTGTGAGTACAAAGTGCATCTGCAGGCTGTGACTTGGCTCTTTAAATACCCGTTGCAAGTTGCTTTGCAGCCTTCCTCAAACTCTTCGTGTCGTAAAATCTAAAGGAAATTAAAGAAACTTGAAAATATTAAAGCTTTCATAACAACACAGTTTCACATCCTGGACAATAAGGAACTATTGTAACGGTTGTGCAACAGAATCATCATCAGAAGGAGCGAAATAGTGGGAAAAACTGCCGTCAAATGTTGATGCCGCTAAAGCAGCTCAGACCTACTACCTTCATGCCGAGGACTTCCCGGTAAAAGGTGGCTGTTTTAGGGCGGTCACCGACTTTAAAGACAAAATGTAGCGCTCGTCTCAGAGCCATGTTTACTGATCCTGTCAAGGAGCTCGATTAAGCTTCCTGAATGATCGATTTCGCTCTGATCCAATAACAAATGGGAGTGTTGCGTTCTAGTTACCTCGGACATTTGAGCTTCGGTCAGCAAGCTAAATGAATGAATTAATATGAATGGATGGACTGGAATGGAAATATGAAAGCAGGTAAAGAACCTAAAAAACGTTCAAAGATCGGATTTATGAAATGTTATATCGGATTTTGATTTGATGACAAAAAAAGCAGTTAATGATGCTGAAGTTATAGTTTAATATATAATATTTGTGCGAGAACATCTGTTGCAACTTTAATACACAGAAGGAGGTGATTAATGGAGGGGGAAAAAATGACATAGTTTCATATTATATAAAAAAGTGAGTGTGTACTAACAATACTGGGAAATGTCAATCTTAAATGTATATATGCAGGTTATTTACCGGTAGGTGGCAGTAGGCACCTTTTTAATGTTTTGAAGAGAAGAAGTAATAAAAATGGCTGCGCTCTTACGAGGCGTGAGACTTCTGTTCCCAATAGAAGAATCCGTATTTCTTTCTTCAAGAAGCGATATTATTGTTGATCCGAAGCGCTTTGTTCGCGGCCTGAGGAGGAAACCTGTCAAGGTGCTGAGTTTTGAGGACCAAGCGGCTAAAGCTCCCAAACAGCCGCTGCCTTCTCGGCCTGATGCTCTGGCAGCGAAGCAGGAGGTGAAAGGAAACAGTCCTGCAGCTCCAACGAGGCATCCTGACAGGACTGACCCTGCTAACACCAGGAGTGAAACCGCACAGCATCCCCATTTCACCATCACTGCGGACCAGGTAGAAGGACTGCGCTACGAGAGAGCCTTTCCTGGAGATAAGAGATTATCGTGAGTAAAACGGGCAGCGGAAAGTTGTGCTCAATGTGTCTATTTCTAATTTTTTTTTATTATAGAAAGTATTCTAAAACGTCAATGGCGTAAATATCGGTAAGACTGCAGTTGCTTAGCGACCCCCTTACACTTTTGTGGTTTAGGATTTCTCTTTGCAGATGTAATGGTGCCTAAAATTCTTATTAACCTACGTAATGTATGATTGAATCAAATCCCATGGTAAGAATTTAGAGAACGTAGGCTTTCATTCTTTTTACTCTCAACTCATCCTCCTAATAATAATAATCCAAGTAAGAGCATGACTCTACCTCCACCATGTTTCTGTGTAGGGGTGTTGTGTTTAGGTGATGTAGATTATTGTAGTTTTTTTGCCTTCCCTATCTCCATCTGTCATGATTAACAACTAACCAGCTGTATTTGAACTCCACTCTACAACTCTTTGCTGCTTTTGTTACATAAAATCCAACTAGAGTACTTTACAGGTGTGATTTTAATGTACAATGTAAAAACTCCTCAGTGGTATAAGTAATAGTAAAGGATATAGATTTAGTTTTCAATGCACCATGAAATAAACTCAATAAAAGTAATCTCTAAATACATTTTTTTATTATTGTATGAATTACCTGTTTGTATGTTCATGTTTGTGAATCAGGGTTTCCACGGGTCATTAAAAATCATTAAAAGTCATTAAATTATTATATTTTAAATTAGGGCCTTAATTGGCATGAAATGATTAAATGTGATTATCATGGCATTTAAAAATGCTTTAGTTAAAAAAAAAATAGTTCATAGTTAATCAGAAAACAACATCTTAGAGTTGCCAAGTTACTAACATTTCAAACTTATTATACATATCCAGAAAAATATCTACACTCAATACTATTTTTTGCATATCATGGGGATGAAAAAACGGCAAATAATTAGCGGCATAAAATAATAAAGAACTCACCGTTTTCAGTTTTGACACGGAAGGTTCTTTCTTAACAGAATCAGAGATTTTATTAGTTTAAAAAATTTGTTCAATTAAATGTAAAACAACCCAAATATAATAAAAATATTTTAGGTAGTGTGAGTTATTATTCTTCAAATGCACAAATAATCCAGAAATCTAAAATAAATATCTACACTTGTGTTTAGTATAGATACCATGTCAAATTAGCGTTTTATCTGGAAACAGTGTTTGAGTCTCAATACCTCTGACAGCCCTACAGCCTCGTTCAGACGCAGATTATCGAATTTAAACTAGAGTAATCGTTCCTGCTTTTAAGATTCATCCTGAAAGATTAGATTTCATTCATTTAAAAATAAAATAATGTCAGGTGACCATTCTGCTCATGTCTGTTAAATCATACCTAAATTATGCCTTATTATTTATGTTTTTAAGTAAATCACTATTAAAGTCACATTATGGCCAGATTGTGTTATTTTGACCTCTAATCTGAGGTTTGAAAACCAAAATGATTTCCATGCATGACGGGTGGATTCTGATCAACCAGAATAGATGTTAGGGACGTGTCTATGATAATTGATATATTATGTGTTTCTGAACAGGCTAGGATTATAAACAAAGAGGATTAATTTGCTTATCTACTTACTGCTGTTCTGCAGGAGGTTAGTCAGCGTTGCCCGATCCAGGACATTTCGGGAGCACCAGGGGAAAATCCTCCTGGAGGGCAGGCGTTTGATTTGTGATGCGTTGGAGGCCGGCGCTCGCCCACAGACCGTCTTCTTCAGCTCTCTGGATCGGCTCCGGGAGCTGCCACTGGACAAGCTGAGGGGGGCATCAATTGTCAAAGTCAAGTTTGAGGATATTAAGATCTGGTCGGATGTTGTGGCTCCACAGGGAGTGATCGGTAAGGATCAGATATTTAGTAATCAAGTACAGATAATTAAGTGTTTTTTAAGTAGATTTTGTTGGTGTTCTGCAGCTATATTTTCCCGGCCTGATCCTTCACGGCTGAACTATTTACAAAGAGGTCAGTCGATGCCGTTGTCCCTGATATGTGACAATGTCCGTGATCCTGGGAATCTGGGGACCATGCTGCGATGTGCTGCAGCAGCTGGCTGCCATGACGTCCTTCTTAGCAAAGGTAACTGCTGACAGTGGAAGGTTTGAATCTAGAGAATGAACTTTAACTTTGAAATCTTCTTTTTAGACCATTATAATATTATGACTAAAAAGACTCACCCTAACGTAATAGAAAAATGCCACAGACTATAGGAAGATTGATGGATAGATGGGTTTATATGGATCACTAATTTGATAGTTTTTAAACTTTAAATAATTTTCCATAATTATTACATTGTTTTTTTTCTATTTAGGGAAACTGATTGTTTTATTTATCAACAGGTTGCGTTGATGCTTGGGAGCCTAAAGTCCTTCGTGCTGCCATGGGCGCCCATTTCCGACTCCCTATTTTTCACAACCTGGACTGGGATGAGATAAAAAACCATTTCTCTAACGCTGTGGCTGTGCATGTGGCTGACAGTTCTTGCGGTCATCAACTAAGAGGAAACACAGAGGATGATAGGACTCCACGGCTCTCCAAACCTGGAGATTATGGTTGGATCAGCTCATCATCCAACAGGAAAAAGATTAAGTACGAGGAATACGATTCAGATTCTGAGTCAGAAGACGAGGAGATTTCCTTCCCCAGACTGGAACCCAAGGTCTACTTCGAGAGCTGGGCTCAGAGTCCCACTGCTCTGGTGATTGGTGGAGAGACACATGGTCTGAGTACAGAGGCGGTCCAGTTGGCGGAGAAAACCAATGGTTATAGAGTCTTTATTCCTGTTGTTCCAGGAGTGGACAGCTTGAACTCAGCCATGGCTGCCAGTATCCTTTTGTTTGAGGGCAGGAGGCAGCTGCTAAAGCTCCTGCAGACATCTGGGAAGAAGAGACTGGAGTCTAAGGCAGAGAGAAAGCTCTCATAATTGATCAAGGTGGAACTAAATGTATAATGTTTGGTAACTCTCTGCAATAAACTGATGAATTTCACCTAAAATGTGGAACATATTGTCTTATCTGTAAAAATAATCTTAGTAGTTGAGAGCCAAGCTTAGGCTTTTTTCTAAAGATTGGAATTAACTTCCATAATAAATCCATTTAGAGCAATTCTTTGGTGCCAAATCTAATAAGAAATTGTAGGGTGATAAAATTAAAAAAGGTAAAACTCTCCTTTATATTTAATGCACAATATTTTGGGGATTTGTTTTGTCAATTTTTGTTTCAATGTTTTGGATTTTTGTTTTTCTTATGTCCATGTACTGGACAGTAGAAACACTCAATGCTTTGCAGCGACTTCCTTTGCATGTTTTAATTATTTATTAAAAGTAAATAAAGGCCTTGCTTAAAGAAAACTAAGCTTTTGTACTAATCTATCTTTGTACTACAGTCATATTTATCATTTTTCAGCACAGTGCAGCATAGTTGGGACTAATCCATTTACATCATATCTTAATAAAATCCTGCTGCTACAGAAGTGTTTTGTTTTAATTTCTTTCTGTCATTCTGGAACAGAAGCAGCTAGTGCTCCTTTACTTTGAAAACTTAAGTTGCTAAATATAAAATGTGGATTTACCAAATAGTTGTAAAAACAACTTTTTTTAACAACTTTTCATGTTTTTTTTCTTAATTAACTAGAAAGGCTAAGAATCTCAATCTACTTGTGTTTAAAACATCAGTGTCAGTTTTCTGTTCAATATCAAAGGCTTTTTCTCTGGAATCAGATTTTATGTCCTATAAAACCATTTGTTCTGTTTTTAATAATTCCTGAACAAACTTTTTTTTTTCTTTATTGTAGAATTTTGAAAATATTTAACATTTTATTTCAAATATTTTAGTATTTGAACAGACAATCCAATCCGGACTTTATGTATTTTTAATATTAAATATTAATATATTTGAACATTTCATTGGTAGAATCTATATCAGGGCCATCCGCTTTTTTCCTCATATTGCTGTTAACACTGCATTTGTATTCTGTAGTTTTTGGGTCAGGACAGTTCGTCATTAAACCAGTCATTTATACTTAAGGCAGTGGGGGCAGATCCCCAGTCATACTGGAAAAAGGAAATCAGAGGTCATGCCTCCCAAAATCATCACTGACTGAATCTATGATAGTTGGGATTATCTCCCCCTTTTTTCTTTTGAGTCTATATTTTTAAATGAGACTGAAAAAAAGTCTACTATTTTAAAATAGGACTTTGGGTCTTTGAAGAACAGTATAGTATTTATTCTCCCAGCCCAGTCATGCTTTTAGTGGCATCTCTGGTCCAGGACTTTGTTAACAGGCAGTAGTCCATGTCCTGGATATATCCTCCTCTGGTGGCTCTTGAAACACCTTTTTCCTTCCACCTAACTTTCCATTGATATGCTTAAATAGACCACTCTAAATAGTCAGCAGTCTTCACTCTGATCACAGACCATAACATCCCTGTATTTTTCCTTTGTCTGTATATATATATATATATATCTATATAGATATATATCTATATAGATCTATATAGATATATATCTATATAGATATATATATACATATATCAAAATACAAAAAAAAAAAAAAAATAAATGTGCATTTAGTGGGTTTCATCAGCTTTAAGTCATAAGATTTCACCAAGATGCCTTCTGTGGGAAAATTGAGAGGTTTTCCATTTCAGTTTAGTGACTTCTGATGACCTGCAGGTTCAGCTCCTTCACTACAATAATTGCTAGTTTCTGTCTCTATTAATTTGAAGCATTGCGCTGCAGGTTTCGTTTTATTCAGACCAACGTTTTGTTTTTCAGGAATGATCACTGATAAGCGTCAATTAATCATCTGTATTGTTTACCTGAGATTTGCAGCACAACATTTTTTCATTTTTACTCACTATACAACCGTGCTGCTTTCTCTTTCTTTAAATCAGTAAGAAACTTTAAATATGAACAGTTGATTTGTCTTCATCTGTAAAACCTTCAAATTTAAAGACTCTGTACTTTATGTTGTAAGTTCAAGTTCCTTTAAACATTTGGAACAATACCTGGTTCACGTCTTGTAACATAAAATAAAAAAATCAAGGACAGAACTTTGTTCTTGCCAGTGAGTTTTTAATGTGTTAGAGAAGTCATGGCTGAAGTAACAGAGAATAACAGTTTATACATTTGACGCTTCTCAAAAAGGCCTCTTTTTGGAGGCTGCAGCACCATCCTGTCCTTTTTTTTTTTCTTTCCTTCAGTGGACCTTCACAGAAAATCCTCAAAATGACCTTGAGAAGAAATCAGCACTAACAACTGGTGACACGCCGCAGTCAGCCGGCAGTCTGTTCCAAGCAGGCTGCGTACTGTTTAATGTCTGAGCACCCATCATGGCTTTTTAAATAGGTCTACAGCTACATCCAACTGCCCGCTGATATGCAGATGGATTACTGCACAGCTGCATTGCATTCTCTCTCAGCGTCATTCAGAAACCTAAAGGAACACAAATCTGCAGTGAAAACAGAAAGCAAAGCATCAGCTTTAATAAGTAGGTCCATTGTGTGATCCTCAGGTTGTCTATACAAATCAGAAATGCCATTATGTGTATAAAAAAAACAAAAAACAAATACAGAATCTCCTCATATATTACTGTATGGACTATGCAAGGCACCACGGGAGAAAGAGAGGACTCCATGAAATAGGAAAATGTTTTTTAAGATGTTAAAATGCCAGTAGGAGGGAGACATTTTTTGTAAATTTAACAGTCAGGAGGGGAGGTGAATGAAAGCACAAAGAGACAGAGAGGCGTGTGAGCAGATCAGGGATGGGTGACAGTCTTTTTTTTTTTTTTAATTTTTTTTTTTTTTTTAGCATGTCCGTTTCCTGCTCTAAGCCTCTTTAGATGGGTTCCGGTTTGAGCTTTTCAGCCAGGAACTCGTTAACAAATTGCTCCACGACGGCCGGCGTGATCTCCTCCACGTCTCGGACGTACTTGGCACGAGCAGACATGTCCAGGATGGTGAGCAGCGGGGCGGCCTCCGGGAGGTTGGTGTAATCCCGCAGCGAGTCGCTCATGTCGTCCTGCAGAGGAAGAGAGGATTACATAATGCAACAGACTTGCAGACACCTGGAAGGAAAGAACTGTTGAAGGCTTTTTAGACATTTTCTGCTTGAAAAAAAAAAAGAGGGATGTTATGAGATCAATGCTGTCAACACAAATACAGATAAGCTCTTTTGCTTTAGTACCATGGCTTTTAATAGTAGCTTAAAAACAATATTTAGAACTAAATATGAAATATAATAACACATACCAGTCTTAGAAGCTTTAGTGGTTTTGATAAAAAAATATATTTTAATTGAATTTTTATTTCAGAATGACATTTAAAGAGGAAATATGTTTTTAGAGCCAGTTTTCATCTAATTAGCTTGGAAATCAGTCATTCTAAAATGATTCTTTTACATCAAATAATATCTTATAGAGAATAATCCAGGCTTTGTCTTTATGAATCGCTTTTTCTTTTCTTTCTCATGTCAGATATTTAACAAAACATAATATGTTGTGTTTTTTTTTTAAGTCATGGAATTATGGCAACAAAAACTGACTTTTACTCTGCTAGATTTAGGGCAAAATGGCTCTTTGCATATAAAAGGTTGCAGACCCCTGACCAAGGGGCTTCCTAACTGACTAATGCTCTGAAAAACTAATCTGCTTCACGTAAAAATCTGTCGATGTTTAAAGTATTTAGATGGGATGAAAAAGACCTCGGTTTATATTAGAACAACATTACTCAGCCTAATAATAACTATATAATGAATTATGCCAAGTTTAAGTATTTTATTTTACAAATAAGCCGAAACATACTCTCTCTGCAGTGAATCAACTCTATGCCAAACAATTAAACATCCAAGTTAAGTTGGAAAAGCAAACATGTTCAAAAGCCAGTCTTTTCTATTCAGTCCATGTCAAGGGTTTTTAAGGGAAATCTTAAATTTTGCTCACTTTTTTCATTTCGACTTCATCTTTTCATTAATTAGTTAAATTGCATTCTTGTTTGCTGCATTAAATGCTTGACAATGTAGTGAAAAAATTTGTGTCTTCTCATTCTCCCCAACCACGTATAGATGTTATAAAAGAGCTCCAGATAAATTTGCCTCACAAAGCACATAAAGAGAAACAGTTTTTAATTTATTCATAACTCCACATTTGAATGTTTTAGTCCCTGAATTTGACTGTAACTCTGGAATTCAGACAAGATTACAGACGTACTTGAAAATAACAATCAGAAGGACTACCTTTGAAGCGGATCGCTTTGAATAAAGAAGCTGAACGGCAGCATCTTTATCTGAAATATTTTATATTCTGCGTTGTAAAATAAGTAGCTTTACTACTGAACATTCCTTAGGAGTGAATTGTAGATCTCCCCTCTGGTTTCCATCTGCCCACAAAGACCTAAGAGTTTCTGGTAAACGTACTGATGTGTTGAAGGACCCAAAGTTACCATGTGGGAGACCTGCGTCATCCCTTTTTCTCCCTCAGGATCACCTTAATTATAGACTTTAAAAAAATCTCCATGCTGAAAATATACAGGATTTACCATGGTCCTATTACACAATATCCTGAAGTCTAAATGCCTTTCAGATTAATGTTCAACTGAGCATCTTTTGCAAATTTGTTTGACATAAAATCCCCAAACCCAAAAGGTTAGGAAAAATAGTAATGCATATTAAAATTTCAATGGAGTTAGTGTTGAAGACTGCTTTGGTGTAAGTTCTCCCTTTAGGAAGTCAAAGGAACAGCAGTAGCCCTTTAGAGATGTCATTTTATTCCAACTGAATAAGGCAGCAGCTTTAAATCAAGTTTTAGTTCCATTAATCAGAGAAGATCAGAAAAAAGGAAAAATTAATCCATTAAATTTTTTAGTTGGAAGAGCGTCAACATTCTGCAATGGTGCCTGCATACAGTTCACTTTAATGAAATGCCTAGAACTATAATATATCGGCATTATTTAGATGGAAGGCAGAAATCTGATTACACCATCAGGGCTGTGGATCAAAATACTGCCGTCCTGACAAAGAGTTAAGCTTCACGGTGGATCTAATAAAGAATGGGTATTTCCTCCTCATGACCTGATTTACCCTAAAGATGAAACAGAAAATAAATCAGTTTCATGTGTGAAAGATTGGGTTCTGAAGTTACACACAGAGACCAGAAGGGGGCACTGTTACACACAGCTGATCCTCAGAATCCCTCCCTGTGAGGCTGAAGTTACTAATTTATGAGCAGTTTTCAGTTTATTATTGACTTTCTCTTCAGCAAGGCAGCTTCAGATGCAGCCACTGCTCTATTTAACTCTTAGTTCACCCTTCCTCAAGTCATCAACTCGTTTCAGTTCTGTTATCAGAAAATCCCCAACTATTCCAGCTGAACAGATCAAAGCAGGCAATCAGCTCAGACCTTTTTGTTGAATATCTTCACTGTGCCGCTACCTAAAAAGGATAAGTATGCCAGGATAAAGCCGCTGACCTCTGCTTTGTAAAAACTTTCTTACTCTGAATGGAGCTGGTTTTATTGCACTGCAAATCACAGAACGGCGACCACTTAATGCTCACAGATGGAAGCCGTCACTGAAGACAGCATTGTTCCCCAGTGAAATACGACTATATCCTCCTAATACAAATAAAACCCGCTCCCTTTCAGGCCCTCTTGCAGCCACATGAAGCATGGATGACGGATCATACATGAAGAAACCACATTCTGCATCTGAAGCTCTTCCAGCCTCTCTGACGTGAGAAGATCTAATCTCCACGTCAGCGTTGGCCTCCATGGGAAATCATGCATCTTTCTTTTGTTTGGTTACCCTGCATGTGTAAACTGCTTCTCCTGAGTTGTGGCCTTTCCAGAGACCCCCCTCCACCCCCCGCTGCAACTCTACAGCACAAACTATAAATAAAAAAAGACAAAAGGCCTCTCTGCTGCTGCTGGCTGCACTCACAGCTGTGATGTGGCTCAGCATGTGTTCACCGAGCCACAACAGGATTATTCTGACCACTGACGAGCTGTGGCGTTACACACATGATGGCCACCTCATAAAACCTCTGCTGACGGTTAGAGAATAAAAAAAAAAACTGGATGGCATCCATCTTATGCAACTTTACTATGCAAAGAGACAGCATTTACTATCCTGATGGGTCATTTTCCCCGTTACAAAAAACTCCTTTTCAGTTAAAGCTGCACATCGGAGGCGGTTCTAGACCACGTTTACGGGGGGGGGGGCCAGGGTGGGGCCAGCCTAATTTAGTGGGGGCACAGAAAAGCATGAAACAAAAGACAGGGTAGTAGTTTATCATTTAAAATATGCACTTAAAAAAGCAACAAAACCAAAGAGCTACTTGTAGCTTTGCACTTAATGGAGGGAAATTTCCATGTCATTTAAGTTGATTAACATTTTATGTTGTTCAAGATGAACATTTTTATTTTCAGCTTGAAAATTTACATTTTATTTTACCTAAAATAACAACAAATATCCCTTACAATTGGGAAAAGATGCATCTAATTAGTAAATATCTAATAAAAGCTAAAATAAAGACTTTCTTTGAAATATTAGGTCAATGTGTATTCATGGAGACTATTAAAAAAAATATTATTCAAATAACATTTACACTAGTAGATGAAAACATTGATTCTATGACTGAAACTATCAATCATTTTTAAGGCAAAATTAAAAAACATGAAACATGAAAATGTGAGCTACCAGTCACCAAGTCTGTTCCAGCCGATACCATCATTAGGATTTATAATAATAATGATAATAATAAGTATTATTATCATTATTATGTCTTCATTGCAGGGGCACTGGCACCTGCTGGCCCCCAAACTGCACATAATACAAAAATCCTAATCTCAAGAAAGAAAAGTTTTGTTTGTTTAATACCTTCTTTGTTGTAACACTGCCATTAAAAGTTAGACAGTTTATTTCCCCTTTTAATGGCTCCACATTAATTTAGAAAATACATTTTCGGTATTGAGAGGCAGACATGAGTTTGTGGGCTTTGCTCTAAAACAGCCAAATCCTTTTGTCAAACTGTATACTCTGTAACAGACTTTTTTAAAATACTGGATGGTTGATGTACTGGTAGCTCTGGTAATGGGCCGAAGGCTCCGCAGGAACAGTCTGACCAAGCTGGTGACCAGCGTTAGGAGGAACCTCCTAACCCTACTGTGGGGTGGTGTCCCGTTGTTTTTCCAGATTTTTATGCAAATAAACCATTTGTGTTTTTGTTCCACGGCCAAAAACTACACAACCAAACTCACCCAACAAGTGTTCAGTGGGGTTTAGCGGAGGGCTGCCTTAAGACCAAACCATTCCCTGGACAGATTGTCCTCTAACTATATAAACATGCATAAGAACTGATGCGGACCATGATTAAAAGCTGCATCCATTCTAACAAACCAAATGAGCTCTACTTATTCTCGATTAGTCAAATATCAAGACAGAATTAGAAGGAAAACAATCTTCTCTAAAGAAAGTCTAAAAGATATCCATTAGCATGATAGGTGCATGGAAGCTTTCTGGGCACCATGACCTAAAAATATGTTGTTTTTTTTGTTTAAAACCAGCGGTAATAAAAAGGGAGCAGATTCAATCAAAAAGACTAAACATGCAAACTATCCACCTTACTGTTTCATTATTTTTACTAGAACAAGTCTTGATCAATGTCTAATTTTGGCTTTTTTTCATTCGACCATGAGCAAACCCCCATAACTATTCATCAGGGCCAAAAAAAAAAAAAAAAGACGAGATATAATAATAGTGCACTAATGTGAGGGGTGTTTCTTTTTAAACTTAAGAATATTCCTGATCATTCACTCCTTTATTTCTTTCTGAAGAAGCATTAGCATACTATCTTGTTTCTGAGACAGAACCCCAGCAGCTGGCTTGGCAACAAACCTGCTGAAAAGCAGGGCAAACCCAGGCCTGAATGAAGGACTCTGGGCTCAAATCCATATGGCTCCATTCATTACTTGGAGCTAGGACTGATCTCTGACTGAGAACCCCATCTAGGAATCAAACCTGCTGATTTTAATCACCAGTTGAGCCACAGCTGGGAAAATAAACCTGCAAAGTCCAACGCACAAGCTCCTCAATCCCTAGGAGCTCCAGAAAAACAATGTAAAAACAGATGCAACACCCTTATCTGTCCAACAAAATCCTAAGTCCCTTCTGCATGGTTGTGTTAGTGAGGCGTTGGTTTCATAATTTAACTTGTTTAACTTCTTTGTAGTCAAAGAGCTTTTTGTGTTAAATCTTAAATGCTTATTAAAAAAGCAGGTCCCCATCAACCGGCTGAAATCAGCATCATAAGAGCACACGTCTATTTTGTTTCATTAAAAAATAAAATAAAAAATGTTTACTGTCATTTGAAATCCTTTTTAATACCCTGCTCAGTGCGTTTCATCTCACCTCTCCGGCAACAAAGAACAACAGTGGTGTTTCCTCCTCCTTAGCTTTATACTTGGCCAAGAGCTTCTCTGCTATTGGCTGAATCAGTTCCTTGGCTGGCTCCAGCTCCCCTTCTTCTTCAGCATCTAAAAGATCATAAAAAAAGAGTCATTTCATGCAAGCATGAGGGAAAATAACTGATCAGTGAAAGTAGAGACAACAGAGGAGGATCAATGAATACTGCAAGTCAGTATGCAGAGGTGGTCCTTGTCTCTTTCTCCAGTGTAGTTTGACTCAGAGACACACCAGGGGGCTCTCACATTTCAGAGGTCATCATTGTCCATCCGTCTTCATTCCTCGGTTTAATAAAGTAATCAAATCTGGTTCAAATTCCAGTAACAAAAAAACAAAAAAAAAAATTTGACAGGATGTCCACGCAGTCTAATATTTAGTGTTCTTAATTCTTAACACTTATTCACAGACCCTGAAAATTGTATGAATTCTAATGGAATTTTCTGCAACCAACCAACAAAAACTATAGTTTGATTGAAAAGTTAAAAGATAACTATGACGGATATATAAATAAATGTATCAATAACTCCTATAATCACCTTTTTTTCAGTGATTAGAGCTGCAGGATCTTCAGGGTTCGTCTCTAACAGACTAAAATATTTACCCAGAATCACGTTTTGCATTAGTGAAAAATACAGAACTAATGCATCACTTAAAGACATAGCTCTACTTTGTGTAGGTCTATCACAGAAAAGGCCCTTCATGCCATCAGAGCTCCAACTACTAACCCACAAACAGGACGAGGCAAGGTCCCTCATGGAGCTGCACAGCGTTGGCCTCGCTCAGCTCCAGCACAGGTCGGGGGTGCCACGGGAAGAGCCGGCACTCCGGGTCATTCAGCACCTCCACGCGGCCCTGCCGTGTGATGACGTGACCGTCCGCGTCCAGCAGAATCAGCGTGGGAATACCTGGATGGGTGGACAGAGGAAAACAGAGTGACATTAGAGGGAGGGGGAGGAAATGGGCAGGAGTGTGGGTCATTTCCGTCCATTATCGCTTGGCCAAGCAGACATTTCCCTTCTCCCACTGAGATTTTATTTATGTGGAAATTTCTTGCCCTCCGTTTCCACTTTAATACATTTTACTGGAAATACGTTTGCTTTAAACTCTCATCTTCCCCTTACTTTGCAAAAACTAATCAGAAACAGACACTATTAGCCAGCAAAGGGTGAATGAGTCAGAGTTACACATGTGGACTAAGGTTTGCAGAAGTGGAGGCGGTCATGGACTGCAGACATTTTATCGCATGGTGGGGGGGCTGTAGACTCGTCCTTTTGGGCATTCCTAACATTCCTTGCTGGACAGAGCTACAGCCGGTTCCTCTGCAGCACAGAGGAGGGAATCAGTGGAGAAACAGAGGAGAGACGCTTCACTTCTGCAGCCGGGGAGCCGGTTAACTCAATAACCAGTCCGCATTCCTCAGGCTTCAGGACAAATCTGTATTCGACACAATAAGCTGCTCAATCCTGTAACAAGGTTTCCCTTTCCAGCATTCCCCAGCATGGGAGCAAGATATGTTTGTTATTGAAAACTGCATTACAACCCAACCGATATGGTTCCCAGACCAAGACATCAATTAAACAAAAAAAGTAAAAATGAAACAAAATAATAACAGAGCAGCATTAGTCACTGAAGATTCAGCTTCTATCTGATATGAACTGTTATAAACAAGCGGTATGAAAGAAAAGCTATATTTACTTCTAACTTTAAGACTTATATGCTGAAAATTTAAATACCTTGGATCCCGTAAAGTCTGTTGAGTCGAGATCTCCGAGCCTCGTCTGAATATGGAATGGCCAACCATGGCATCTCACTGAAATACTGCTTAAAGGACTCCTCTGACCTGATTTACAATAAAAAGTAAAACACAGACAAAGCCCTTTTATTAGCTCTGTTACTCAGTAAGGAAGCTCAAACAGACGCATAAATCAGACAAACAGAAAATCGAGTGGAGCTCACCTGTCAGCGCTGACGAAGACGATCTCAAATTTGTGACCCGACTCTTTGATGATCCGATAGGATTCCACCAGTACCCGGGTCAAACTGCGGCATGGCGGGCACTGAGAGACGGACGACAGGACATTATTTGGTTTATTATAGATTCACTGAAGTCAAACCAATTTATTTTTTTTTCAGGTGTGAGGAAAAAAAAAAGATTTTCTAAATCATAGATGAGATTTCAACATTTGTTTCATTACTTGCCTTTAAAGAGGTTAAAAAATTGATTAATTTGCCCTGTTTGGGTGTTAAATGAAGTATGTACTAGACAATAGAATGCCATTTTTTCTGTTTGTTAAACTACTGAATGCTAACCTGTTAAAAAGGCTCCTGGATCTCACATCATTTTCAACAGCTGGTCACAAATCTATAGGCTATTCGAAAGAAAAAAAGCTGTCATATATGGATGCACTGTAGATACTGTATATATCCCATTCACCTTTTTCTTCCTTTGGCACCTTTTTCTTCTACTTTTGAATATTTAGCTGATGTGACGAGTAAATTTCTCAACTGTGAGATCAAGAAAGTCAATCAAGCAATCAAACAATCCTTACACTTCTTATATTGTGCATTTACTTCCTAATAGTAATTGAGTACCAAAGTACCAGAGTTAAAACTTAGAACTAGGGCTGAAACAATTAATTGGATTAATCAATAATTGAAATGATTGCCAACTAATTTAGTAATCAATTAATCGGTATATAGAGACTCTAAGCATGCCATCAGCTGACAGCAAACCAATTAGAGGATAAATTATACCAAAATTGTAAAAAATAAATCTAAACATTTTGCATTTAAGTTAAAAAACCTTTTCATGTCAATATGCTCTATCAAGAGTTTTAGTCTCACCTGGTTTCATTTCTTAAAAAGTCTTATTTAAGGAACCTAATGATAGCCAATTATTAATCAATTAACTGAAAAAATTGTCGACAGATTAATCGATTTGCAAAATAATCGTTAGTTGTAGCCCTACTTAGAATTTTTGTTTTGGATTCACAGTAGTGTGGTTTTCAAACATTTGCTTTCCATTTCAGTTATTCCTAACAGTTACTCAAATCAGGAAAACATTAAAAGCTATTTCTATACTTTTCCATCTTACTGGATGACTCTCCTATGAGTTTATCACCAAACACCTTTCCACCAACTGATAATTCTCTCTTGTTTTGTATCCAAAAACACAGGCCAGCTGCTAATCCTGATGCATTACTGCAGATCAGGGAACTGTTTGCTCTGCTGTGTGGGTTTGGAGCTCCTAGTCTAACCAGGAGGAGGAGGGGGAGCGCTGGTACGGCTGGTGTTAGGATGACATAAGAGTGTCACGACCGCAGGAAGGAAAACAGACCAGCCTAAAATCTCAGCCGTTCCCATGCTCTGTTCTTCATTTGCGCCACCTCTTTCTGAACACTCTGTGAAACCAAACATGTATACCCAAAGCCATTCAGGAAATGATTATTGTAAAGTTATGCTGTTGTTACATATAAGGACGAAGGATTGGGATTAAGAGGTGAATATTTAAAAGTGGCACAGAAAAAGAAAAGGTGATAGAGGGATGAACTACAGCAGAACAATCTCAAATCAGTCATTTGTTGTTAAGTGGCTACATTGGAAAAGTGCTGAAGCTCTTCTTTTTTGTCTTTGTCAAACAAAGACAAAAAAAATCTGAGCAGAGTAAAAAATAAAAGTCCATTCTCAGGTGTTGGCACGTCTAGTTTCATTAAATGACTTTAATAACAGTTTTGCACCAGTACCAAGAAGGAATTTAGCATTGTGCCATTTTGTGACTAAGCTGGGTTCCAGTTTGTAATGTGTTTGGGATGAGAGCCAGCACACTGGGGCGTCACCGCTCTGGATATGCCTGTCTAAGGCTGCGGCTCTGGCAGCTGTTGTGCTGACTAGCTTTAGGAGACGAGTGCTGCATCTCATCAGTAACGGATCATCACCGAGCCGTGACCCTTGGCTGCTATCAGCAGGTCCAGAAAACAGAAAGACTAAAGCTTGGAGCCACTGAGGTGTGGTGACAGATCCAGAGGTGATTAAAGGACTCACTGAATGCTATTGATGTAAACAGACAAACACAATACAGACGCCCCTATCTGGTCTGACCTCTTATCTCCACAGTTTTCAGAGTTTAGAGGTTTGGAAAGTTCAAACCTGGCTCTGCTTTGTCCTCTCTCCTCACTCACCCAGTGTGCTGAGAAATACACTCCCACGTAGTGTCCCTCCAGAGAGCTGCAGTCTGTTGTCTGCCTGTTGTTCCTGAGCAGAGGCCCCGCCACCACCTCTGCAAAGGGCTTTGGCCCCCAGGGGAACTCTAGGCCTGTGAGGGGGAGGAAACATGGGAAGAGATTAAGGCTAAATTCATAGTTTAAGACCTACAGGTTTAACAGAAGGCAGGTAGAACTGAGAGTAAAAAACAAAGTACATATTAAAAAATGTCTAACGGGTTGCTGAAGCTGGGATTCAATCCAGGTTAAAAACCTCCTTTAAAAAGTGTTTTCTACATCCTTTCATTTCAATATCAAACTGCAGTGTTTAAATTAAGTCTTTTTAAATCTACAGAGGCCACAAATGGCTGCTGTATTCACAATTATAACTCACTCATATTTCTTTTTAAGAACTTTTTTAAATTTTGTTGAACTTAATTGATTTTTTTATATAGCCTACAGCTTTTATAAACCGATAATCTTAAAAAATTTTTTTAAACAGTTTTAAATTCCTTAAAAAAGGCCTTAAAAAACTCCCACTAGTAACAAAAAACACATTAAATATATGACGGCAGCAATATAAAAAAAGGGTAAGAAATCATGCTTGAACTACTTAAAATTGTTTAAATTAATTGTTTAAATGTGATTATTACTAAATATTACTATAAGATTAATTATGTAAATAAACTGGAAATAAGTCCTTTAGTTAAATTTACAATTTTTTTTAAAATAAGGAGAATGTAGAATTTTATGTAGAAGGAATTAGGTGGAGAGGAAAAATTAAGCCTCCATTGTTTAACCTAAAAAAGTGAATTCACCACTTCTCTGGCAACACTCTTCATTGTGAAAGTTTTTACT